TTTCGTGGGTAAGAACCTCACTTCTTCAGATGACTTGCATCTGAAGAAGTGAGGTTCTTACCCACGAAAGCTTATGCTCCCAATACTTCTGTTAGTCTCAAAGGTGCCACTGGACCCTCTGTTGCTTTTTAAGGTATTTTCAGTGGACCTCCCAAGTTTCCAATTTACCCCCATCTGCATCATACTGTTGGTAAATGTAGGGAGACTGTAGGACATTTGAAAAAGACATAGAGCAGTTGGGAGTTGGGACCGGCCATGAACAAATTTTGCCTCTGGTGTGTGTTCATGGGTTTCCTCTGACTTCCTGTGCCCCAAGGCACATGTCCTCTCACTGTGCTTTGGCCTCAAAGCCAGCTCTGTCCAAATAAGCATTTAAGGGTAGGGTTTTTCCCCACCTTTGTCCTTGACAAGACGCTGCCCTGATGGCCCCTTTTCACCATCACCACTTAGAGTAGCAATGCTGGTTGGTTTCCTAGAGGAGGGCGGGAGGTGCCCACCCTGCCTCTGCCTCCCATACTCTCCCCTGCTGCTGCTGCCACTTGGAGACATCGTCACACACCAAGAGGAGGAAGGGGGTCCTCCAGGGGGCTGCCTCTGAGCGGTCTTGACCACAGCCACTGACCTTTCCAGAACCACACTCAGTTTGGCATGTGCACAGGATCCTCCCCCATCTTTCCCCCACTCTCCAGCTCCACAATCTGGATTTGCACAACCACCGGCAACAAATGTGAGGCTGAATAGTGATTGGGTGCAAGATCCTTCATTCCCTGTGTGTTACCAAACAGGTTCGTATATTTTCTACAGCCAGAGAAGCCCATTGTGCCCCTCCAATTTGAGTTCCTGTATAACACAGGCCATAGGACGGCCCGAAATTCATTCCTAACTAGAGCAGCTTTTAGAAAAACATCCAGTCTAGATTTAGAAATGCCAGTGATAGAGAATCCACCACAACCCTTGGTAAACTCATTCCATAGGGTTAATTACTGGTTCTGCGTTCCACCTCAGAGGTGTCTGCATTTCAGTGATGGTTGCAATGACTCACACATATATAGTCTCTGTAAAGTGGAGGGATCATTTGGGATGAAAGGCTGTTGATATTGCAGGTGGTGACAAGCAACAGCTGTTCCCCCCACTCTGAATAACACAAATATAAGCCTCACACCAACTGGCCCCGATGATCTGTCAAGAGAGTGGTTCATGTGTCCCTTTCTATTCTCACCAGCAGCAGAAGAGAGTAGATAAAAGCTGTCTCCTCCAATAACTGATGTCTGTGGATATCCTGCAACTCTACATGACTCCAGTATATAATTTATGAACCCTATGTTCCTAAATTACACTGTGGTGCTCTGTGAATGTGACTGGCAAAAGCATATGTATCATCAGAATACAATTATGACGGAAAGCAGGAAGTGAAAGGGCCCACTCTCCACTGCTACAAATTCTGGTTCATTTTCTCCACTTGGTCTATTGTTATTTTTTATTGTCTAGATTTTTAGTAGGCCTGATTCTGCATTGCCCTGCACCGTGGCCAATCTCTTCCCTCAGTGCAAAGTGAGCGCAGAATGCGACCAAATCAGAATGATGGAAAATACGTAAGTTTTGCACTGTGACACATGGCTACCCAAGGAGCAAGGCACTGGGGAATCAGGCCCTGTGAGTCTACAGGAACAAATATGTGAAATAAAAGTTTTTCTCCTTAAACCATGAAACTTTTATTTCCCTGGAATACTCAACAACTTGTGGCTCAGTTAATTATCAACGGTGACCTCCCATGTAGAGAGAAGTAAGAATTCTCTCCTCCAGGAAATATGCCCACAGAGACTATTACAGCTATTTCTCACATTTCAGGAGAAATGATTAATGTGTAGGAAACAAAACTGGCCAGGAGATGGCTGCAAATTTTTAGTGTGGCAGTTTTTGCCGTTCTCACCTGTAACTTTGACATTGATTTAACATCACCCTTACTGACTTTTAATTATTTCAAAATGGATTGGCTGGAGCTGCAAATTCAATAGAAGACAAAATACCACCACAACGTTTCTACAGAACTTGCTTAGCAAATCCAAATGTCCTTACAGGCACATATCCAGAACAGTTTTCATTTATACGACTCTTTAATATACAGATCTACATGATCTAGTAGATCCACACATTACCAACTCTCAGTCTCCCCACACTCACACTGGGCAGGTGTCAAAAAAGCAGTAGAGCACCCACAGGAATTGATTTTTGATTCACATTTGATTGTTCTGAAAGAGCACAAGCCGGTTTGCAGCTTGATAAAAGGTTGGCCCCACTTCACCCCATTGGAGTCACATGACAGAACAGACTCCTGGCTTAGATGGGGACTTTGCAGCAGCAGCAAGGCAGCAGGAGAACCAGCATTGTGAGAGAGGGGACAGTTTGTGATCCTGGATTTATTCTGTACATCCATTGTCTGAGCCAGTTTCAGTCAGTGGTGATGGAGATGAACTTTCTAATGTAATGCCATGAGCTTCTGTACAGCACTAAATTAAAAAGGGCCTATATAAAAACAACCTACAATCACGGATTTTTCGTAATGTAAATAATACAGATGAACAATTGGAGCCTTTAACTAGAATATACTGTAGCTTCCTGCCCAATTAATGTAAATAAGATGCGGGATGCTGCTGCTCACATGGCTCTGTTTGCTGTTAGAGGTTATTTTAGAGGTCACTTGGATTTCTGAGTCTACATGCTGTATATGTCTATAGAGTT